TCTCTTTCTCTTTCTCTCTCTTTCTCTTTCTTTCCATCTCCTTTCCTCTCCTCCCCCTCCCCTCTTCTTTTCTCTTTTAAATTTCTATTTGACTTTTATGTAAATATATATATGTGTGTGTTTGTGTGTGGATGTATGTGTATGTGTATCTCTCTCTCTCTTTCTCTCTGAAAAGGTGTACTACACCTTCTGTTTCAAGATGGCCTTTTTTCTTCATTTTACAAATCTGTTTTTACCCAAGTGCCCCATTTCTACTTTGAAGAAGCTGCTGGCCTGGACAACACACTGTTTTGAAAATATTTATTCATAAATAAAAATATATTGAAAAAAAAATAAGGATCTGGTTGCAAGAAATAATCTGTTTAAAAACAGAACTTAAGCCTGAAATGTTCTTACTAGGGATAATTAGAGGTGATTACAAGAAAGATACTGAATATATAATAATGCATATATTGACAGCAGCTAGAATAATGAAAAGTATGGATTGTGCAGAAATGAATAAACTTACAATGGAATTGCAGGAGAAGGGAGGAAAAAGAATACTATACGGTCTGGGAAAAACTGTATGTTTGGTTTGGTACCAGGAATAAAAGACAATGCAAAATGTAAATGGGGTGTGTGTGTGTGTGTGTGTGTGTGTATGTTCTCCACTCCTCTACTTGTTGCAGAATACCTTATGCCACCAGACTTGAAATTCTAGACCTAGAAAACCTAGAACTACACCGCCTTCGCTCCGATCTAAGTATGGTATATAAAATCATACATTGCAATGACTTACCTGTCAATGAATACTTCAGCTTCAACCGTAACAACACAAGAGCACACAATAGATACAAACTCAAGGTTAATCGCACCAAACTTGATTGCAGGAAAGACGACTTCAGCAACAGAGTAGTCAATGTCTGGAATACTCTACCTGACTCTGTGGTTTCTTCCCCAAACCCCAAAAACGTTAACCTTAGACTGTCTACTATTGACCTCACCCCTTTCCTAAGAGGTCTGTAGGAGGTGTGCATAAGCGCACCAACGTGGCTACCATCCCTGTCCTATTGTTTCTTTTTATTTTTCTTGTATGTATCCATTTCATGCATTCATAACTATGTTTATCCTTATACCTGTTATCTTATAATCGCTTAACAAATAAAAATAAAATAAAATAAAATAAAATAAAATGTATGTATGTATGTCAATGAATGCAGAAAAGTCGATGCCATAAATTACTGCAAAAATTGTAAATATGATTTGTTTTTAAAAGTGTAAAATTTAATACAATTTTTTTAAAAAAAATAAAGAAAAAATCTTGGGATCAGTTCTGGTCTTATGTCGAGGACTATCGGTTATCTAGGGAAGGCTGGGGACGGGCAGAGAAAGAGAAATAACCAATCGATCAACTAAGCAAATAGTCCAAGAGTAGCAAGGAATGAGTGACCCTTCTATGCCACCCTGGCCGGCCTCAGAAGCCACTTTGTCAAAGTGTTTACAGGAAACCGCCCCTCAATTTTGGCACTTTCCAAGCTTGAAATCTGTAAAAGAGACAACCACGCGACTTTCCCCAACTTTAGACCTTCTTCTTTAGATCCAGCTGAAGCGTAAACATTCCTTTCTCCTCCACTCCCAAATTTTGCAGGAGAATATTCCCGATTCTGCTTTCGGACTGTAATTTTCCTTGGTCACTGGCAAAGAAGAGATGTTGGCTGGAGAGGCTGAGGTTTGCAAACATCCCCTTGAGGAAACTGGCCCTTGCACTTCGGTGCGCAAAAACCAGCACCACAACCAGTGAAATAACAGGACAGGAGATGTTTACGGAGGCTCTCAGTCATCCAGGTCATGTTTTCCTAAAGGTGACTGGAATTTCTGGGTTCTGTTTTTAAAGACATTTTGCTTCTCATCCAAGAAGCTTCTTCAGAGCTGAAGAAGCTTCTTGGATGAGAAGAGAAACGTCTTCGAAGCCAAATAAGAAAGTCCAGTTGCCTCTTGAAAAAAAATCACCTTTGGGACAACAGAATAGCAGAGTTGGAAGGGAACTCGGAGGTCTTCTAGTCCAACCCCCTGCCTAGGCAGGAAACCCTACACCACTTCAGACAAATGGTTATCCAACATCTTCTTAAAAATCTTCTTCCAGTGTTGGAGCATTTACAACTTCCAGAGGCAAGTTGTTCCACTGATTAATTGTTCTCACTGACAGGAAATTTCTCCTTAGTTCTAGGTTGCTGGAATTAAGGAGAATTCACCTGGAATTAAGGAGAAATTTGCTGACAGTGAGAACAATTAATTTGTGGAATCATTTGCCTCCAGAAATTATGGTTGCTCCAACAGTGGAAGAGATTGGACAACCGTTTTTCTAGGATGCCATAAGGAGGGCTGGACTAGAAGATCTCAAAGGTCCCTTCCAACCCTGTTATTCTGTATTCTGTAAATATTTAGAAGAGAACTACAGATGACATGATAGCTGTGTTCCAGTATCTCAGGGGCTGCCAGGAAGAAGAGGGACGTTAACATATTTTCCAAAGCACCTGTGTCAGGATTCCAGAAATCGCCCTAATTAAATTGTGATTCTCGAGCCAAACTTAAAAAAGAAACTTCAAAGGATTCATTAGAGGGGACATAGTGGCCCTGCCCTGTGTGAAGCCAACTCTGGCACACATAATTTACAGTCCCCTGTGACCCTGTTTCCCCCCTCCCCCCTGGGCATGTCATCAATCAGATTTTCCAATTGAGCACCTTCACAGGCTGGGTGTCATCATTCCCGTTCTCCAATTAAATATATTCACAGGCAAAAGCTCTGCTCGTTTAGTTACAGTCTTTTAAAGAGAAGAGTTGGAATGTACTTTCGCTTCCAAACTCTTGCACTGCTCTTCCAGATTTCCTTCCTCTCCCCCTCACTTTTTTTAATGACAACTACTAAAACAGGCACAGGAATGTTTTATGAGTTGACAATCAGGAGGCAGGACAAGAAGCAACGGATGGAAACTAACCAAGGGGAGATCCAACCTAGGATTAAGGGTACATTTCTTAACAGTAAAAAATGATAATAATAATAATAATAATCATTGGAATGACTCATCTCCAAAAGAAATCACTGGAGGTTTTTAAAGAAGAGACTGGGCAGCCACTTGTCTGAAATGGTCTTGGATCTCCTGCTTGAGCAGAGGTTGGGCTAGAAGACCTCTGAGGTCCCTTCCAACTCCGTTGTTCTGTTAAATTTGTATCTGCCGCTCTCTGTAATGAGACGACTCGGAGAGGCTTATAGATGATTAAAAAAAGACAACCAATCGAGCAAGCTTTGTGGCCTACCTCGCAAGGCAGTTTTCTTCCGCTGCGCACTCCAAGGCATACAACTGGACTTTGTCAATGTAGGTGGATGCTTGTAGAAAATACGGGTCGGGGACCAAATCTGGCAGGTCTGAAAAGGAGAGACCGGGAAGCAGCAAAATGAGAGCAACGGCTTGCATTTCTGAATGACAGCCCTGCAGAGAAGGAGGGGAGAACCTCAGGAGTTGCTTGGGTGGGTGGGTTGGACTAGATGACCTACAAGGGTCCCTTCCAACTCTGTTAAAGTTAGGAGAGGGGTGTTTTCTGATGGATAAATAAAAAGGGACACCGTCCCCATCGGGCAGGAAGCAAAATAAGGGAAGTGGATTCTCCAGAGAAGAAAGGAAGCAATGTTTCCCAAACTTTTTCTTGCCCTACCCAAAAAACAGCTTCCGAGAAAGTCTTTTTTTTTTTTCTCAACTAGGTAAAATACTTTAAAGGACCCTGTAGTGCTGGAGAATAGGCAGGTGTGTTGCTACCCAAAGAAAAACCACTTTTATCCAATTTGTGGTACTTTATCCAGGTTTTGGAAGCGCTCATTTCAAGGGAGATTTGGAGAGGAGAGGACAAATGGCTTAACAAATAACAGATAATCAGAGTTGGAAGGGACCTTGTAGGTCATCTAGTCCAATCCCCCCCTGCCCAAGTGGGAGACCCTACACCATTTCTGACAAATGGC